TTTGTAAATACCAGCGCTGTGTTCAGGGTCTACTTTGTAAATACCAGTGCTGTGTTCAGGGTCCGCTTTGTAAATACCAGCGCTGTGTTCAGGGTCCACTTTGTAAATACCAGCGCTGTGTTCAGGGTCTACTTTGTAAATACCAGCGCTGTGTTCAGGGTCTACTTTGTAAATACCAGCGCTGTGTTCAGGGTCTACTTTGTAAATACCAGTGCTGTGTTCAGGGTCCGCTTTGTAAATACCAGCGCTGTGTTCAGGGTCTGCTTTGTAAATACCAGCGCTGAGTTCAGGGTCTACTTTGTAAATACCAGCGCTGTGTTCAGGGTCTACTTTGTAAATATCAGCACTGTGTTCAGGGTCTACTTTGTAAATACCAGCGCTGTGTTCAGGGTCTGCTTTGTAAATACCAGTACTGCTTTCAGGGTTCCTGCTGAAACGGTGCTGTGTTCAGGGTCTACTTTGTAAATACCAGCGCTGTGTTCAGGGTCTACTTTGTAAATACCAGCGCTGTGTCCAGGGTCTACTTAGTAAATACCAGCGCTGTGTTCAGGGTCTACTTAGTAAATACCAGCGCTGTGTTCAGGGTCTACTTTGTAAATACCAGCGCTGTGTCCAGGGTCCGCTTTGTAAACACCAGTGTTGCCTTCAGGGATTGCCCTAAAATTATTTTAGCCAATCAGATCAACACGTTGACCTTTACCAACCGTTCTGACTGGTCAGTGATTGTGTAAACAGGAAGTTGTGTAAACAGGAAGTACATTAAACAGGAAGTTCTATAAAGAAACAAATATCTGAGGCTTTTATTTAGTAAATAAATATTTTCTTAATAAATCTGATAATAAAAGCTTTGCCTCTGTCCCAGTCTGAGATTAATCAGGAGTTAAACTGGGCCACAGAACCAACACAGAACTTGAGGTCCACACTGGTCGGAGGCAGAGAGGCTTCTGGGGGATCTTGAAGAGGAGGGCAGGTCATGATGAAGCAGCTTGTTGCTTATTTGACAGCAGCAGAACAAGCATTGGATCCCGGTTCTGTCATTTGTTAAACAGAACCTTTTATGGAATCTGAGGCCCAGTAATGGTTCTGTCTACTGATGATTACTGTAAAAATAAAAACATTTCTGGTGGAACTGTTTTTCTGCAGTTTGTCACATAACAGATTAAACACATCAGGCAGGAAGGTGGACTGAGCAGAACCTCATGTCCGACCCGTGTTCTTTCACGGTCTTCATCCTGGTTCAGTCATGTGGGAGAGACGGGGGCTCTGATTGGCTGAGGGAAAAGACGAACAAACGTTCGCTTTTGACAGAGAGGACGAGAAAAACAGGAAGTGGAAGAAAACCAGGAAGAACAGAAACAGGAAGTGGGAAGACGAACAAAAAACAGGAAGGGGAAGTGAACAGCGATTTGATGTTTTTATTATTTATTTCTGAAAGTTAAATCATCTTTGACAGTCTGGTCCTTTAGATTTGAAAAAAGCTCAAAGGTCTGAACGGACTGAGCTTCGAGGTCGTTCCTCCTCCAGGTGACCTCACCTCGCAGCAGGTCACCTGAGCAGCTGAGCTCCGACGGCCGACTCGCCGCTGCTCTCGGTGTCACTGTGAGGGGCGTTTATGTTCGGGGTGGGCGTGGTCAGTCAACAAAGGGCGGGGCCTCACAGGTAACCTTCCTTCTTGAACTGTTCCTGCAGGATGTCCCGGTACTCGTCAAAGCCGCCGTCCACGCGATGAACTTTCCCAATTTCACACACCCACAGCTCCTTACACACCAACCGGATCAGACGCTCGTCGTGCGATACCAGGATGACTCCGCCCTGGAACGAGTGACATCATACAGGTGAGGGACACACCTGAGGGACAGGAAGAGGTAGGCAGGAACAAACACACCTACTTTGAACTTGTTGAGAGCTTTCGCCAGAGCCTCGATGGTCTCCATGTCCAGGTGGTTGGTCGGCTCGTCCAGGATGTAGAAGTTTGGACTGAAAGAAACAAACATCATCATCATCTTCATCCTCCTCAGGAACAGGTGACCCTGCATCCTTCGTTACCATGGCATCGTCATCTGAGCGAAGGCGACCCGACTCTTTTGTCCTCCTGACAGACTGGCCACCGGCCTCGTGGAGAGCTCTCCGGAGATGCCGTAACCCCCCAGCTGGTGGCGATACTCCTCCTCCGTCCGACCTGCGGCGTAAACACGACAGCCAATCAGATCAGAGCGTGAAGCTGCTCGTCGCGTTGTTGTCGCCGTGGTTACCAGGAAACTTGTTGAGCAGCAGCTCCACAGCGCAGACGTTCAGGTCCAGCTGGTCCACGTGGTGCTGACTGAAGTAGCCAATCTTCAAGTTCCTGATGAGGAAAGATGATGAGACGTTCACCAACGTTCCACAGAAACCACCAGAAACTGTTTCATCAAAGTTCATCATAATAATAAAGTTTCTGTCAGCAGGTACATGTTGACCAAACCGGTCCCTGCAGGTCGACCCGGGACCTGTTCCCTGAAAACTAAACATCCAGTGGTCTGTGCCCTGAAGAACAGCTCGTCATAAAACAGATGGGAATGTTCCTACAGGCTCAAGAATCCGTCCAGAGGACCTGACTTAACTAGGCCTGTGACGATAACAAGTTTCGCTGGGCGATTAATTGTCTCAAAAATTATTGCGATAAACGATAATATTGTTTGAAATTTGACAATAATTAGTAATTATTGTCAAATTTAAGAATAAATGTTTGTTAATTTTTGTATGTAATACCTGTTTTCGACCACCGGATGTCAGTATAAGATTGTTTGAACCGAAGGATGGATAGTGAGGGAGCGAGCAGAGTGTCTAAGAAAAACGGGAGGGAGGCTCCTTGACGTGACATGGGCTGTCTCTCTACGGTTCTCAAAATGGCAGACGCTCGGTGTGGTTTGAGCTCTTTAGCATTTTTCACGCAAAGCTTTTAATAAAATAAAAAATCAGTAAACAAGTTCTCAGCTTCTTGTTGCAGAGAAAAACAACTTTTAGACGAAGGCACGAGTTTCAACTGTGAATTTTTGTGAATTATTTAATTCCTGAGGTCGGCCTGTTAGCTTAGCTCGTAGCTTAGCTGCTTTTAATGATCCAAAAGATGAATTTAGATGTTTAAAATGTATTTTAAAGAGAAAAGAGAAAGGGCGGGGTCAGTGAAGAGCACCAGAGTTGAGCCTTTTCTCATCCAGTGTCTTCAGTAGAAAGAGACATGAAGAAATGATAAAGCTGATAAATGAAAATGAAGTCGATAATTTTCATTTATCATGAGATTATTTGATGTATTGTTTATCGTGACAGGCCTAGACTTAACTTTGTTAGAACTTCCTAAACACAACAAAATAAATGTTCCCTGATCAAACTAAACAGTCAGTTCTGTAAAAATCTTCCTTGAACTTAAAACATTTATAAATGTTCCCTGAATAAATACAACTCAAAACATTTAAAAGATGTTCTACCAAAAGGAAACTCCCTGAAACAATCAAAAGTTCTGTTTAAACACTGAAATGGAACAACGAGGGTTCCTTCATGACAAAAAGGTTCCAGTAAACCCAAAAGAAGCTCCAGTTCCCCAACAAAAACATAAATGTTCCTTAAAAGCAGAACAGGAAAAGTTGGCAGTGAGGACACAAACTGTCGTACAGGCCACGCCCAGCTAATCTCTGTGCTCTGATTGGTGGGTCTGATCGGTCACCTGTGCGCCTGTCGCAGTCCGTTGACCGGTGTCAGCTCCCCCATCAGCAGCTTCAGGATGGTGGTTTTACCGGCGCCGTTTTCACCGACCTGTCGTGAAACAACAAGCTGCGATCGATCGATGCGATTGGTTAACAACTGTCCGCTGGCGGTCTAATCTAGCGAAGGCACGTACGATGCAGATGCGAGACTCCAGGTCAGCTGACAGGTTGAGTCCGGTGAAGAGAGGCTGGTCGGGCGAGTAGCAGAACTCGACTTCATCCAGCTGCAGGATGGGAGGAGACAGCTTCTCAAAGTTATCGGGAAACCTGCAGCAACACATCAACAACCGATCAGTGCTGACGGTGACACGGTCTAACTGATCCACTCTGAAGGGTGCGGCTGGGGGGACAGATCCGGTCCCATCTGGACAGACATGAACAGTCTTACCTTAAAGTGACTTCTGATTCTTTCTGGATGGGCTTCAGCTCTGGTCTGCAGGAGACGAACAGAATCAGAACCAACAAAAGTCGCTACACTTCCAGGACAGACACACACAAAACTATAGACAAAATGTCCTGACGCTCAATAATCAGGAAGATGAATTTAACCAGGTGGAGTCAGGTCCTCTGGAGGGATTATTTAGTCTGAGTAGCTGAAACAAACTCAGTCTTATGAACCTTCTCATAGTGGATCAACCAGTTTGTTGTTGGCATCAAGAACTAGCTGTTCACATGCTGGAGGACCATCAGCCTAACAAAGGCAACTTTGTGGTTGTGCCACGAAGAATTCCTCTGGTGGAGATGATCACAGC